TTCTTTTTTACGGTTTAGATTTTTAGTTCCAATTTTTGGTTTGGATTTAGGTTATGCTAGCAAAACAGAATTTTCTTTTTTTTGTTAAAAGAGAGTAAAATATGATTCAGGATTTCTTAGTTCGGAATTTGATTTTAGTTACCGTCTGTTATTGTATAGAAAAAATTTGTTTAAAATGACTCGAATTACAATAAACCAAATCGGTCATTTGTGATTGTGAAGAAAGAAACAAAAAATGCAATTTGATTTGATCATTTTGTTTTTTTTTTGTGTTGGAGCAGAAAACAATCGCGTCTCCTGGACGTGGAATCTTGGCTATGGACGAGTCAAACGCGACTTGCGGGAAGCGTTTGGACTCGATAGGGCTAGAGAACACTGAGGCAAACCGTCAAGCTTACCGGACATTGCTGGTCTCTGCACCAGGACTTGGACAGTACATCTCCGGCGCAATCTTGTTCGAGGAGACTCTGTATCAGTCTACCACCGAAGGCAAGAAAATTGTCGATATCCTCGTCGAGCAGAACATCGTTCCCGGCATCAAAGTCGACAAGGTAATACACCTAAGTGAATACTCTAAAGGTCTATATGGTGCTTACTTTGAGGAATCTAAAATGAGTTTTTTTTTTTTGTGTGTGTGGAATTTATTAGGGTTTGGTGCCACTTGTTGGGTCTAACAATGAGTCTTGGTGCCAAGGACTCGACGGTCTATCCTCTCGAACCGCTGCTTACTACCAACAGGGTGCTCGTTTCGCCAAATGGTATAGAGTACTCGCGGTTCTGATTTCATTTCCTATCCGCTAAATTATGCCACAGTCTAATTTTCTAGTGAACTTTTTGTGTCTGATGGTTGATTAGGCGTACTGTCGTGAGCATTCCCAATGGTCCATCGGCCCTCGCTGTCAAAGAAGCTGCTTGGGGTCTTGCTCGTTACGCTGCCATTTCACAGGTAAAACACATAGGACAGCTTGTCCTTCAAGAAATAGGTCAAATCGAAATCTTTCAAGCTATTTTACACGCGAATTGCGTACTTTCAGGACAGTGGTTTGGTTCCGATTGTGGAGCCAGAGATCATGTTAGACGGAGAACACGACATTGACAGGACATACGATGTAGCTGAGAAGGTTTGGGCCGAGGTTTTCTTCTACCTTGCTCAGAACAATGTCATGTTTGAAGGTACTTTTTTCGCGCTTCTCTTATTCAATTTGTAAGACTGAAGATTCAACGCCTTACCGGACAAATGTACAATCTTCTTACATATAGGTATTCTCCTGAAACCGAGCATGGTGACTCCCGGAGCTGAGTCTAAAGACAGGGCTAGTCCTGAACAAGTTGCCGCCTACACACTCAAGCTCCTCCGAAACAGAGTCCCTCCAGCCGTCCCCGGAATCATGGCAAGTTTTCTCTCTCTCTCTCCAGGAGAATTAACAGTTCAAAATCCATGTGATATAAAAGAAGTGTTTTAATGAGGCAAACCCTAATTCTGGTTGCTTGAGGTAGAAGTAATGTTGTGTGTGATTTTTTGTGTTTTCTCTCTTTGTTTTTGCAGTTCTTGTCCGGAGGACAATCAGAGTTGGAGGCAACACTGAACCTGAACGCAATGAACCAGGCACCTAACCCATGGCACGTGTCCTTCTCCTACGCACGTGCTCTGCAGAACACTTGTCTGAAAACATGGGGAGGCAGACCCGAGAACGTGAACGCCGCTCAGACCACTCTCTTGACCCGAGCCAAGGCCAATTCGTTGGCTCAGCTCGGAAAATACTCCGGAGAAGGTGAGTCCGAAGAGGCTAAGAAAGGTATGTTCGTCAAAGGATACACCTATTGAGGACAACATTGTTGAAGAGATCATCATGATGTTGTGAAAGGAGATGAAGCAAATGTTTTGATTACATTTGTTTTTGAGTTTGGTTGTTGTTATCATGTCAAATCATTTATTTTCTCTATTTAATTTGCATTAGCTACTCCTTTTAATAAGTTTTAATATATTGAAGACGTTATCTATCCATCTTAATCTACTACTATATGAATGGATTTCTACAACTAAAACTTTTAGGGTCAATTTAGTTAATAACCAAAAAAAATTAAAACATAAAAACTCTAAAATTAGTGGTTATAATAAATGCCACATAAAAGGAATGGCATAGTTATTATATTTTTATTTTTTTCTTATTTGCCAATTTCCCAAACTTTTACCGCTCACTTCCTTTTTTTTATTTTTTTGGTCGTAACGCTCACTTCCTTTAATCGGGTTAAATGTATCGTCGTATTTATTCGTGGTAAAATATTGACGGCTTATTTTGACAGTAAATATTGATAAAATTCCAAGTTTTCGCAGTCTCAATTCGTGGCAAAAACAATTCTTCTTCCAATCATATATCAGATTTATGTATAAAGTTTTAGTCGGCTTTCCTTCCGGCTAGTCCGGATTTTTTGTTTATTCGATATTGTCGGAGTTCAGCTTTTCGGATGTCTATCTACCTTGTGAAGCAAAACGGATCTAAACTTGGGGGAGCAACAATGGAGTTTCTGTTAAGAGTCGCGGAACTTGGTCTCTCACTGGGGATTTCTCTCCACAGAAACGTGAAAGTTTACTCCATCTCTTCGAATTTGCCATTTGCTTCTACTATTACTGTATTTTATCTAGCTTTGATTTTGTTCCGAAACATTGTTTTGCATTGGATTATCCGAAATCCTTAGATTAAATTGAGCTACGAATCCTTAGATTAGGTGTCATCTGATTCATTCTCATTTCCGATTAATTTGCTGAGATAAAGTTTT